AATTCGTACCAAATATCACTCGGTATTCGTAGGCAGGTTCTTGTCCCTAGCATCGAGATATGAATCCCAACTTAAGCACTAGATAGAAACCTTCACTACTATGCCTGGAGAAGTAAAAGTCCTGTATAGAAGGGATAGCCAAGCTCATCAGCAAGTTCACTAGCAGAAGATGCTTGGGCTCTATGCATCTCTTTCGAGCCGTTGCTTACCCGAAGTACGCAAAGTCCTCCTTTACAACCGCTGTTCCGAGGGCATTCTCATCCTGACCCGCATCGAGAGTTAGGCCCTCCACTCGAGTAAAGTCGGTAAGATTCACCTTTACCACTATACCTGGACTAGTGTTAGTCCTGTGAGGATATAGCAAAGCTTCTCAACAACTTAGAAGAATATAGTCTTGCATCACTGGGCATTACTTCTAAGCCGTTGCTTACCCGAAATACGCATAATCGCCGCTCACAACCGACGAGACTAGGGAATTTTCACCTTGTTCGAGAGATAGGCTGTTCACTCGACTGAAATTGACCAAACTGATCTTCACAACTATGCCCGGGGAAGTAACAGTGCTGTATATAGGGTATAGCTAAGGTTTTCAGCATCTCAGAGGAAACAAGTGCTTAGGCAATATACATCTCTTCTAAGCCTTTTTGTTACCCGAAATACGCATAGTCTCCTTTAACAATCGATGCTTGTGGCTGATTTTCACCCGAAAGGAACGCTAGGCTTCCCACTCGAGAGAAGTCGGTCAGATTCACCTTTACCACTCTCCCTGGATTTGTGAGTGTCCTATGTATAGAGTACAGTCGAGATCATCAGCGACAGTAATAGGATGAGATCTAGTTACTCTGTACACCTGTTTTGCTTTGCTTACCCAAAATACGCATAGTTCCCGCTCAAAACCGACGTATACAGCCTATTTTCACCTGTATCGAGTTCTAGACCCTCCACTCGAGTAAAATCGGTTAGATTTACCTTTACCACTATGCCTGGATTGTTGTTAGTCCTATGTCTAGAGCATATTCAAGGTTAGTAGCATCTGATAGGATATATAAAGTGTTACTTTAATGTGTTTATCTTCTGAGCCTTTGCTTACCCGAAATATGCATAATTGTCTTTCACAATCGCTGTCCGTAGCTGGAATTCACTCGGACTGACCAGCAGGCTGCTCACTCGAGTGAAGTCGGTCAGATTCACCTTTATCACTATACCTCGAGCAGTAAAAGTCCTGTCCATAGAGCACAGCCAAGGTTACAACAGCTAAAGGAAGGTGAACTCCAACGGCACTGTGCCATTTTCCTAAACAATTGCTTACCCGAAATATGCAAAGCTCCCACTCACAACCGATGACACTAGGTTATTCTCACCCGTATCCAGAATCAGCCGGTTCACTCGAGTGAAATTGGTCAGATCTATTTTCACCACTATTCCTGGCACAGTAAAAGTCCTTTGCATAGATTATATTGCCAAGTTTGTTAGCAACTTAGCGAAAATAAAATCCTATGATAAGTGGGTTGCTTCTGAGCCTGTACCTACCCAAAATACGCAGATTCCTCGCTCACGACCGATGTTAATAGTCCATTTTCATTGGCAGTGAGAGGCAGGCTGCTTGTCATTGTCGGAGCTGCTGTCGGTTGCTTCGTTGGCTGTATCGTAGGCGCTGTGGTAGCCGTTGACGTCGGCAGCGTCGTAGGGGCGATGGTCGGAGCTGATGTCGGCTGTGTCGTAGGCGCCACGATCGGAGCTGTAGTTGGCTGGATTGTAGGCGTCATGGTCGGAGCTGTGGTCGGCTGCGTCGTAGGCGCCACGATCGGAGCTGTGGTCGGCAGGATTGTAGGTGCCATGGTCGGACCTGCTGTCGGTTGCTTCGTTGGCGCATTGCTCGGAGCTGGCATAGGCTGTAATGTGAATGCCATGCTCGGAGCTGACGTCGGCTGCTTCGTGGGTGCTACAGTCGGAGTTGACGTCGGCAACGTCGTGGGGGCGATGCTCGGAGGCGTGGTCGGCAGCGTCGTGGGTGTCATGGTCGGAGCTGGCGTAGGCCTCGTCGTGGGCGTCATGGTCGAAACTGTGGTCGGTTGCATCGTAGGTGCCATAGACGGACCTAACGTCGGCTGGATCGTTGGCGCCGTGGTCTGAGCTCCTGTGGGCTGCATCGTAGGCACCATGGTTGGAGCTGGCATCGGCAGTGTCGTAGGTGCCATGGTTGGAGCTGGCATAGGCTGCATTGTAGGCGCTACTGGCGGAGCTATAGTGGGTTGTGTACCAGGAGGTGTCGTAGATGCATCAGGGGTCGGACCAGCAGTAGGAGTCACGCTGGGGATGGTAAAATTGGTGGGAGAAGCGCTCGGATTTGACGTGGGTGAGGCCAGAGGACTTGAGGGTGCTACCGTAGGTGCAAGTGTCGCAGGGATAAACCCTTCGTATATGTCGAAACCAGGTGCGAACACAAAGGGAGTACAAATACTCATACAGCAAAAGCACTCGCGAGCTCTGTTGCTCCAGCTAAATAGAAAAGGCACAGTTCGCGCCCCGTTTATCGAGCAATATTCATAGCAATCCTCTCGCGTCTCGATTGACGGCGCTAGCCGGTCATTTCGTGAGAATCGCTGTCCTTGACCAAACAGCACAAATGGCTCCGTAGGATTGACAGAGGGGGCTGGTGTCGGGGCGCAAGTTGCTGGGCGCTTGAGTTTTGAATAACGCACACGTATGCGTACCGGGCATGAGAGAGACGTCGCACAGGATATTCTTGTTGCATTTACGAGATAAGCAAATGCATCTATGGCTAGAGTCTCGGGAGCACACTTATTAACATGGACTCTAGCCATGAAGCGATGCTTTCTTGGCCTATCGAGCTCAATTTGGAGCCAGTATACGGCTGTTGTTCCATCGGGATTCTTAATTATCACGGGTGACGTGTGTGGTTTTAAGTGTGGACGAGTTCCGGTGCATTCTACAGACGTGCCGCTTGGCAGCAGCAACTGAAATTCCAAACCAACCACAGAGTCCTGGGCAGCAAGCGTGACGGTGACCTCGACATGTCCTGACCCGGCCAAGACCCCACGTTTGGCAGCTGGACGGGTTTTGGCATTGAGAGCGAGGTGTGAACACTCTTGGGAAGCTATGCTCGAGATTGTGCAGACTCCTACAAGAAAGAGATAGTAGCAGCGCAATGGGAGACGCATTGTCAGGTACCTGTGTGTGTCCTCCAGTAAAGTGTGATTTGATAAGGAGATAAATAGTATCACGATAAATGAGGACGGAATTAGGGGCTGGGGAGTGCCAAATGGGTTCATACAATGCGGACGCGCGTTTTGGGAAGATCTGATCAGAGGCTTCTTTGAACGAAGATCGATCAGGCCAGGAAGGGAAAGTCAAGTTGTAATACTAATAAGGCAAAACAATTGCTGTGTAGGACGGAGGCCACATAACTAATCGAACATATCAGTATTTCGTTAAGTCAATGCATGATAATGTCGAGAGTATTCGAAGGCTTCACCGAGGCGTACGCGGTGTTCCTGAAGATTTTGGGGAGGCTTCTATGAACGACGATCGCTCGGAACAAAAGCCATATCCATTTATTCATAAGAAAAAAACAGTCATCGCATAACTCGAAAGACTAGAGCTTTCCTCAAGTATTCTTTTATTGAATAGAGTGTTAGTATCATTCAGAAGGGGGAGAGGACTGCTCGAAGGATTCACCAAGGCGTACGCGGTGTTCCTGAAGATTTTGGGGAGGCTTCTATGAACGACGATCGCTCGGAACAAAAGCCAAATCCATTTATTTATAAGGAAAAAACAGTCATCGCGTAACTCGAAAGACTGAAGCTTTCCTCAAGTATTCTTTTATTGAATAGAGTGTTAATATCATTCAGAAGGGGGAGAGGACTGCTCGAAGGATTCACTGAGGCGTACGCGGTGTTCCTGAAGATTTTGGGCAGTGGCCTGCAGCTCGGGACAAGAACGGACACCAAAGGAAAGTCAAGTTTGAATATTTATAATAAAACACAATAGTTGCCAAGCGCGGAAAGATGTATATGCAATCTAGTTGTTGTGCACAATGATATACTCAGAAGATTAAGAATGTTGACGAGAGCATTCGGAGGATTTCCGAGGAATAAGCGGTGTTCCCTAAGATCTGGGCAGAAGCTGCTCTGAACGACGACCGCTCGGGACAGTGACTGAAAGTTAAGTGCCGTCTTAGCCTAGGGAAGTCGTCCAACTCGATAACCCTAACCCAACAGACGTTTTCATGACATGTGTTCAAGCTGTCTTTGGGACATCTCACAGTAATGTATTTGATTATCGCGAGGTACTCCTCATACGTCTCCAACTTCTGGGAACTCCCCAACTTCTACTTTGAAAACTTGAAAATGAAGTAAAAATTATCGGAAGGACCTGACTATCGAGGCCTCATTCGAGCGGTAACAGAGTAATTTGTGTGATACACATAGGAGAAAGAGCACCAAGAAAACATAGGTTGTCGAGTAATTGACGACTCCTAAGGCGAGAACCATAAGTGGTTGCACCATTGTATGATGTCAATATTAACGATCCATTACTTGTGACATTTTTCAGGTGACTTTCGATAACTCAAACTCTTCAAAAGCGGGGCAAAATAGAGCGTCATTTGGGGAAAGCATACGTCACAGTGCGAATTAACAAAAGAGCTCATCGACAGAGCATTGTCATGTCTGCATTTGAGGCAAAAATAACCAAATGGGAAGACACGTCATATTCACGGTTCCCAGAAAGAGGGCGTCATCTCGTGTACAGATCGAATCACCCAAAGAGTCTCATGGCAGGCAGCTAGTAGTGAAGGCTTATTGCTAGATACTTCAATTACAGTCCGTGATTTCGGTTTCCACTGTCACCAATTTTGCTCTGCGTATATATACTTCAAAATTCTGCCGGAGAGCTACCGCGTGTCTATGTTTCCTGAACGACACATAGTCACTGGTCATTCCTAGGCGCTACTGAATCCCTTCGCTGACATTAGCTTCCTACACTTTCCTGTCTCCTACCCCCTCTCGCTTCCATAGCTCTTGCAAAATATCCTCATCCCCAATCCAAGCCGCGTACAGGGCCGCTCCCACCACGTAATGCGCCGCGAACAAGGCGAAAACCGCATCGAAACTCCCACATTTCTCCAGGACTAAGCCGGCTATCGGTACCGAAACCAGGCCACCCACTGTAGCCAAGGTATTGCCAGCTGCAAAGATAAGTCCTGCATTACGAGGACAAATGTCCAAATGCGAGCAAGAAACACCGCCGAGAGTGAAGGCGGAAAGGCCCGCGCCGATTGTGACATAGAAGAAGGAGAAGAGTAGGGAGGAAGCGGAGTCGGAGGACGTGTTGTGTGTTGTAGTAGCGAGGAGCAGAAAGAGCGCGGGTAGGACTGTACCAGCGGTCTGCAACAGCTGACGTACGCGCTTTATCGACCAACCAGCGGCTATCAAGTTATCGGCCAAATAGCCCGACGCGATCCCTACCAGAGTCTGCACCAGATAGGGGGCGAGGGTAAAAGCAGCCAGCTGCGTGACGTCGATATCAAAAGTCTACGAGAAATAGTTAGTATCAGTGGAAGTCAGCTTAAGGTAGGATCGACACTATGCAGGCTTACTTTGGTTGGCACGACAACAACCCGCGGAATCCAGCTTTCTGAGCAGGAACATGGCCCTCTCTGCCTCTCCCTTTCCTTTACCTTGCTGTAATATGAGGGTAGCCAAGAGAGAAGGCCATAGATACCCCACGCTTGCGTATACTGTGCTACCAGAATGGCCCACACCTCCTTCCGAGCGAGCAAAAACCTGGCCTGGGCCCAAGTCAGTCCCTCAGGCGGAGCAGACGAAGTGGTAGAGGCGGCCGTCGACGGGGCGGACGAGGGCATAAGGTCGATGCGTTGTGATTTGGATGATGAAGGATTTGACAAGGGGTACCCTTCTCCGCATCTTGCCTTTTCCTCACTCTCCGCCTCCTTACCTTCCATCGCCTCGCTTCTCTCTTCCCCCCACGCCCACCAGACAGGAAACCAGAGGACGGGTAGAGCACCGAAAAAATAAAAGACAGATGGCCAGCCTGCTTCTTCAATCAGGAGGGGCGACAATGCAAATGCTAAGACAGCCCCAAGATAGCTTGCTCCTGTAATGAGGGAGACAGCCAGACTGCGGCTTGGAGCAGGCACGCGTTGAGGAATCATAGCGTGGATGGCGGGAAAAGCGACGCCCTCTCCCATACCCAGTAAGACTCGATCCATGACCATTGCGCCCAGTCCAGCTTTGGCAAACGCAGGGGTGAGGAAGGTACAAACGGACCAGAGGATGATTCCCGCCTGCAAAACGCGCGACCCGCCAAAGCGGTCGGCAAGGTAGCCGCCAAGGAGGCCTGTGAGGGCGTAGCCGGCAAAGAAGGCGGAGAGCACAACGCCCTGCGAAGAAAGGGACCAATCTAGATCCTGCGCCATGGGTAAAATACAGGTGGCGAGGTTGGCGCGGTCCGCGTAAGAGATGAGGATGGCAGTGCTGGAGAGAACGAGGAAGAGCCATGGCGTGCGGGAGCCAGTTTGGGACTGTACGGGTGGGGGATTGCGGGAGTCATACAGAGGCATAGGATGGCGTGTAAAAGACAGATCATGGTGCTGCTCATAGCCGATTGAGGACTTAAGAAGGGGGTCGGAAACGGTGGACGAAAGGGGAGGGCGTAGCCACGGTTGCTGCAATCGGAAAGACGTAACATGCGATCCTCTGATTAAACAACAGAAGAGGAAGATAACCAAATTCTGCTTGGCACTTCGCTCAAGGAAGCTGTGAAAGGAGGCAATTGTGGGATGACTTGGCTTAAGGGAAGGATGACAGCATATCAAGCAGGTCGCACAAAGCACAGAAGCGAGCACCCTCTTTCACGATTCCGATACCGGGCTTGTATAGACATACCTGCGGTGACCCATGTTGCCACGATCGACCTTGAGCGATGAGCTGCCGCTACGTCGCTTCCTGAAATTACTATTGAGATACGTTTTCAATTACAGCTGAACCCGCAGTGCGAGGTCGAGGCGTTTGGAGAGTGGGCCCGAAGACGACAATCACAATTGGGACGTATAATCATGAATAAAAAAATGAGCTGGGAATATGATTGCTGTCAATGAATTGCTGCCATGATAAGATAAAGATAAGTTCCCCGACTACTTCCACATTCGTCAACCATGACTTTCCAGTAAAACCAATATGCAGCCTTCCGAGATTTCCGAGGCAACACCGACCTGTGATGCAACAAAGCATGTTGATAATGATGCGGTCGAATTTACAACGAAAGGACAAACAAGCCAATCGATCGTTCACTGTACGCCACCCAAACATCCTTGAGGCCTATACAATACAGAATCAACACATGCGCCAAAGGACCCAATGCAAGCTGTGTTGTCACAAAACATGGCAGGGAGGGTTGAAGGTTGAGCTTCCGGGTAAGCTTCTGTTCAACGGCAGCATCGAAACAATTACCGAGGTAATAAGTAATAAATAAGTAAATAAGCAAATAAAGTATACAGATTTGCGTCCCCCCAAAAAAGGTAAATGGAAGCACAAGGCAGGAATTTCTCTCGGTGCGCCATTTTTGGGGGTATTGCTTTGAATCGAGGGTATCCGTCTTTTCTTCAGCATTATATTTATTCTCAAAAACTTTCAATTTAAAATAGCTGCCGTCTGATTATGTTTTCACGTATCTAATGCGCTGCGTAGGCAAGAGGACTTGGACCTGTCCTCTCGAGGCCCGAGGGCCTCGTCTTTCGGGCTCTATTTTGCAAACGTGGCATGAAATAAGCCCGCTAGAGGTTAGCTCTTGGCCCGGAAGACCGCACTCCCTCTCCCTCTGCCCAACCCGTAGACAAAAATTCCTCCAAGCTCTCCGTTGCCAGGCTAAGATTGCTCTTCTTACACCATCTCGCGATGAGGCTGTGGCAAGCAACATCACACGATGCCAGCTTTTGAATACGTCGACCGCAAGCCGTTGCTCCTGCAGCCTTTGTCGTTTGACCTCGATCCGATGGTGCCGCTGTCCCTCTCTCGTCGCCTGGCGCCATCCCACGAGGCAGTGGCGGAAAACTCGACGTCGGTCCGCCAATCGCGCCAGCTGCTCTTCGTAGACGTGGTGCTGCCAGGCGGCAACAACCTGTCGCACTAAGGTACCCTCCCTCTTCTGTCGGGCTTGCCGAACCTTTTGACCCACGCGCCGGTGCTCAGCCAGAGCCGTAAGTGCCTTCAGGGCCAGGCACTTTACGCTAGCAACTTCGAAACGGCTCGCGATTTCTCGCATTTGCCGAGCCCTCCACGCCGCCAACCGCAAAAAGGAGAAAACCTTGCGCCGGCGCCGGAGACACGAGGCGGACGCCGCGTGCATTCGAGCCGCTACCTCCTCAAGTTCCTCCATATCCTCTTCCTGCTGCGCAACCCGACATTTAATTAGGTACTCTTGCAAGTTTTCAAGCACCACTGTCTGCTGCATTAACTCCTCTTCCAAGGCCTTATTCTCACCCATCACCAGGGTCAGGGCATGCGCCGCTTCTGCACTGCCTCCATGCGCCAGACTCAAGATCTCACGAGCCCTTTCGCGGTCTTCTCGCACTGTCCATAGGTGAGCTTCAATATCCGGTGTCTGTCGCAGGAATTCTTGTAGAGCTTCCAATTCTGCCTGTCGTTCCAGCAAGGCGGCATGCACCTGCTCGACCTGTCCCTCCGCCGCCACAAATTCAGGAGCCTGACAGATCCCCCGCAATTGTTCCCAGAGCTGTTTGTTCTGCTTGAAGAGACATTCCTGGTCATTATAGAGCCTGCTTACTTCCTTTTGTAAGTCAAGCACTTGCCGCTTCAGAGTGCCAAGGTCGAAGGCGGGGGTCAAGAGGAGGGAAGGGGCAGTTGGTTTGGAATGCCTGTGCATTGGAGGAAGATCGGATAGCAATTTTTCGAAAAAATCTTCTACTTCTCTTGGAAGGGCTCCCAGGCGTCGAAAGCTATCCGTGAGAGAAGGTAAAGAGGAAGATTGAGGACAATGTCCAATCTGATGATTTAAGGCGATGAAGGGATAGGCGCCCGCCGTAGCACCTTTTTTTGGCCTTGCAAAGACGTCCAAGCTGCCGGGCATATTCTCTTCTCTCTCTCTTTCATACGTGGAATGATGCCTTTCTTGGCATGAGGTCCAATTAGGTAGATGTGGCTGAGACAAAGGTAATACTGAAGGAGAGCATGGGCTAAAAGGTTTTTGGGTAACACTATCCACTTGCCGTTTTACATCCTCATCGTCGTGGCGATACTTCATGTGCTGTGAACTTTGATGCTTCACATGTGGCGGAGAGTCGAGTTGTGGTAAGTGAAGTGGTTGCTTTTCTCGGTGGGAGCTTTGAAAATGTTCTTCTCGTGAAGGACGGAAAGGGCCCATATGCCTTGTCGGCGTGGAAATGGCCCCTGTCTGCGCCAAGAGGCGTACACGATCCCACGCTGAAGGACATTGTGTTAAAATGGAAGGCTGTGTGGCAGACGAAGTGCTTGAATGGGTCCTAGATGGTCCAAACTGTTGCCGCCGCTCAACCGTGGTACGGCCTAGCAAATGGTGGGTAATATGATGTCAAAGAGTCTGTCTCTCGACGCGTACATGAAGCTTGAGGAAATGACTGAACAGATGCATGCAGAAATTGCTTCCACCCATGCTACCATTTCTGATTTATAAACTTTACCATCGAAGAGCGGGTCAGGCCAAGGCGACTCCAAGGCCATGGCTAGTTGCACGCTGGCTTTCTTTAAAACGATGTTGATGTCTAGTGAAGTAAATTGAACGATTTTTTTGGGGCAACCACAAGACTTCTTTGTTTGGCCTGTAAAGCCTGTTGTGTGTAGATGTCGATCGTTTAAGCCAAAAAGGTCCATGAGTATTCCGTTTCCTGGTCCGGCGTAGAAGACATGCATTCCAAGGCCTGAACGTAGAGCTTTCGCGCCATTTTCCAAGAAACCTCGAGCAAGCTTCGCGCCATTTTTCAAGAAGTCCCGAGCAAGCCGTGCGGCTGAAAGCAGCTGGCACTCTCTGCAGCCCTGTCTGCTTCTGTCTGCCCCGGTACGAGAGGCAAGTCGGGGCAGATATCAAATCTTAGACAAAGAGGCACAAGACATGAAATGAACCGGTGGATCATTGTTGCCTATATCGCGGGTGCTGATTGGACATGTGGTCTTGGCGCGGCCAGACCCCGGCTTTTGAACAGCGAGGGGATGACGTGTCTCCCCCAACTCTCAGAGGCTAAAGCTCGTGCATACGTCGCCTTTGCCTGTGTCACAGGGGTTTGCAAGATCTTCCGACGAATCTTGGTTCCATGACCTGTCTTGTGGACGTCAATCTGTTCAGTAATCGTACACATGAAATGTGCCGCCTGGTCTGGGCACTGGTATCTAATTATGATGGACACGTACTACGATTTCTGGAGCCGAGCAAGGAAGCTTTCACACGAGCTTTCCAATTCGGCAGTACTTTTTTCCTTGGTAGAGCGGCAGTAATGATCACTTACATCCTCTTGAATACTACGGAGCAATTAATTGTGCGAAATGTACCGTTTGAATGTGTCGCGACGAAGGATTTGGCTCTCGGCGTGTTTGTGGCTTTGGTGATAGACCTGTGATGTGACGCATACGTTTCCAATCACTGCCCTTTCCTTGTTCGGCTCTCATCACTTTACGAGAAGCCTTTGCACTCACTCTTCACAATTTCAATACACTTGCTTGGTAGGAACAGCATGAGACGCGCATCGCCTCGAGAGGCCTCATGCCCCCCGTCGTCTGCCTGTCCATACTTGTGCCCGAGCGCGGCTTCCTTGGAAGTAAGGATCGCGCCAGCCGGCGGCGTGAGCCGTCGGCGGCCTCTCGTGACAGGCGAACGGGACTGTGATGCGCTCACGCAGCATCTAGAGGATACGGACAGCGCGGTCGCCGACTTCCCGCAGGAGGGGTTCTCCACACCGCTTACCATATCTGGAGAGCGCAACCTTGAAAGCCCGTTTCCCGCGCCGTCAACACGCTTTCCCCTTCCAACCACTCCCAAGCGAGATTCACGCATCGTTTTAGCCCCATTGCCACTCGAGCTACCCACGGAGACGCCCTCCGCCGAGCTAGTTGTCCTAGCGGTTCGCCTCTCTCCCGGTCTCACTCCTCAACCGTGTACTTGCCTGCTGCCCAACCCTCCGTCGCGGCCTCAGCCCCAGACTTGCCTGGCTCCCCGTGACAGTAGTAGCCGATGCACTACTCAACATACCACATCTCAGGAGTCACGGCACCCTTCAAGCGAAGCGTACCTGCTTTTGAAGCAGTTGACGAAGCCCAGAGACCGCGTTCGACTTTGGTTAGCTCAGGTGCTGCAGGAGGAGAGCGAAAAGGAGGGGGGTGAGACAACGGTTTATACTCCCGTCGGTTCAAAAAAAGTGGTGATCAAGGAATCTGATGCCTCCTTCATCCGAGCATACGGGCAACTCTGGGGGGAGGACCCAGTAGCAGAGGCGGGAGCTCTCCTCCGCATTGGACAGTCGCGGGTTGTCGCGATGGAAGGACAAGCGCACGGCGACGAGCATGTCATCGCGGTGGAGACGGTCTTTGAGGGCGCGGGTTCGAGTCGGGGACTGCTCTTCATGGTAATGCCCTACCTGGTGGGGGAGGAGCTTTTCTACCGCGTCACCAAAACTGCAGGGCATGAGGGGCTAGGGGAGGACGGAACACGGCCCATATTCCGGCAGATCGTGCAAGGTCTCTTGCACTTGAAGAAGGCGCATGGAATCCGACATGGTGACGTCTCTCCGGAGAATGTGATGGTGGGGCCTGATGGGCACGTCACCCTCATCGACCTGGGCATGGCAGAGCGCGTTCCCTCCCTCCCTCCCTCTCTCCACCCTTCCTCTTCCGTACCCCCTGGAGTGCTTTTACGAGCTCGCCCCCGGCGTGGGAAGAAGCAGTACATGGCACCAGAGATCTTCGAAGAGCGGAACTACGATCCTTACGCCGCAGACGTCTGGGCCCTCGGAGCCTTGCTCTATGTGTGCTGGACAGGTTGCACCATCTATCGATCTGTTACTGACGTGCAGTTCGCGGCGTTGAAGGATACTGCGGGGATGGGCGGGCTGCAAAAGCTGCTGGCAGAGAGGGAACTCTCGGGGAGGACCCGGTCTTTGTCTGCGGAGGCAAAGGACTTGCTGGGCCGGATGATGGTATGGGATCTTGGAGAGCGAATGACGCTAGAGGAGGTGGCCGCGCACCCCTGGGTGCTGGCATCGGCAAAAGAATGGGAAGCGAAGGAGTGGGACGGACAGGTTGAAGTACCCTTGCCCCTGTTCAATTCCTCCTCGGTCTCGGCGCCCCCTGTCCTGGCGCGGAAGGAGATAGCGCAAGGAGGAGGCTTCTCAGCCCTCTCAGCCCTCTCAGTGGGTAACTGTAAGGAAGATGTGAAGGAGGAGGGAGCTAAGGACGCCGAGGATATCGTGCATCCCCGTACGTCCTCGTCCACTACGATGTCCACCTATTCCAAGCAGGTCAGCAACAACAGTGACGACAACAGTGTCAGCTCCCTCCGTGTCTCGGAGATGGAGAACCTGCGCAACAATTTTAATAACAACAATTACGAGAGAGAAGTAGACTGGGAAAAGGATTTGGGACATCACTATCGCGACGAGCAAGACGGAGGCACCTCGAGATCAGCCTCTGTTTCATCCTCCTCCCTCCAGTCGCGTTGTTCCTCTTTCGCCGGGGACGATGGGAGATCAGGAGGAGAAGGACGGGAGACATGGGTCAGTGAAAGGGGCGCCTTCACTCCATCAGATATGGCCTTCTGGTCGTCGTGATCGTTTTGTGCTTCCCAGTGGACGGTGGGGCAAATAGTGCCTGTGGATGGCAGGAGAGAGGTATAGAAAACCGATAGCCTGTCTGAAAAATGCGCTAGATAGGTATCGAATATGCATCGAAGGTAGGACAAACAGAGCATGGACACACATCATCTGTCCGAAATGTGATGCAAATCGTCCAAAGATGGGGTGGCTACGCATGTCTCCACATCCAGGAGACATTGTTGAGCAACATGTACTTGCGCCTAGACGGCGTGATGAGAGCATGGAACTTAAGTGTGCATATTACGCTGTGAAGTAAAAATAGGTCAGATCTAGCTCACAGTATGCAAAATATAGCTACAGACATAACGTTACACGTATTGGTGTGCATGTAGTGAGATAGGTTCAATAGGCACGCTTCCAGACAAAAGATCCTGTATAAGCGGTGAGATGTATGACAGGTCAGTAAGCATCGTCGAAAAGTGAGAATAATCTAAGCTTTGAGACCTCTACAGAAGTGTGATTGTTGGATTTTCTTTTCTTCCGGTCCAAGGACTCCAGGCGGGCCATCAATTCCTCATGGAGTAGGAGGTTCTCTGGAATAAAGCCTAGATTTCCAGCCGATTCTTCTTTTTCAAACTACCAAAGCTTACCACAAGAAATTTCATAGCAGGGCCCTAAAATCATCGCTTGTTTAATGCAACCCACGCGGCGACACACGTGGGGATTTCGTGTTTTGTCGTAGTCTTGGGCAAAACGTTTTAACACCCTGCCCACTAGAACCTATGCTGCCACGGAACCGAATATATGACATACCACTCTTGACGTCGGTAGCTAGTATATGCTCGAAATATTTTTTTTGTTGTTTGCATAGATATATACATATCTTTTACGCTGGGTCCTGTGTACCTCGGTCATTGTTTCGATGCTGCCGTTGAACAGAAGCTTACCCGGAAGCTCAACCCTCAACCCTCCCTGCCATGTTTTGTGACAACACAGCTTGCATTGGGTCCTTTGGCGCATGTGTTGATTCTGTATTGTATGGATAGTGTGCAGTGTACGATCTTAACTTTCTTCTGGACTTTGCTATTGAATTCGACCCGCCGCATCATCTGCCAACATGCGTTGTTGCATGCGAACCTTCAGTTGTTGAGACCAACTGGCATATTTTCTTCTTTCTCCGTGCACCCGGATAATTAGGCCTCAATCATCATGCGCAAACGCAGACATGATGATAGCAGCCAGAATAGCGAAGTAGCGTTGTCTTCTCAAGTAAAAAGAGCGGTCAATCCACGTTCAACACGCTCGCATTCAAGATCAACAGATAAAGGTATAAGCGACGAGGCGAAGAAAAATCAATTTTCAGCTCCGGACTCCAAGAGCGCAGCCAGCAGGCCGTCACGGGGACAATTCTCCCTAAAGCATGCGCGCGAGGAGCCAGCCACGGAGCAGAATCTTGTGAATCAATCTAGAGACTCGCCGCGGCCGCCCATGCAGCCTTGCCTAGTTCATTGCCATGGAGCAATGGAGGACATGGACAGCATTTCGAGCACAAACACCACCAAGAGGAATGTCGAAGGGCGACCCTCCTTAATAATCCTCCAAACACAATGCTTGGAGGCAATCCTGCAAAATTTGACACCGATTTCCAGGTGTCCCTCCGCACCTCCCGTCCTGCTCGCAGAGGAACGCCTGGCGCTCCGAAAGCTCGGGCTTCAACTCATGGCATTAACGGCGCCAGATGATGGGGAAAATAGCGGATTTCCATTGTCATATGCGGGGGCAGAGCATGCCGGTGTGGACATGGTGTCGGCGAGTGAGGAAGAGAGGGAGGAAAGACGAGGAGAGGCGAGTAAGGCGTTCGCGCCTCTTTGCGGCCGTGGTATCGCCAGCGACGAATCAAGTACATACAACGGGTTGAGTAGTACTGATAACGGGGCTCAAAGATCAGGCAATCGCCCATCCCGACTCTCGTCTTCCTCTTCCGTTCCCGCTGCCTCGCTGTCTTCCCCTTCCCTTTCCTTAAAGCGCCCATCGAGCGCCATGCGGGCCTTCAGGTACAAAAGTGGCCCCTGCCCGAAACATGCCTCCTACGACTTGCCCAGAACTATAAAAGGGAACCCGGGGGGCATTACTCGCGCCGGGAAGCCCCCTGACGACGGACTCCTCGTGCTGCCCGAGTCCGTCTGGCAGCATGCCTTCTCCTTCGTTCCTGCCCACGACCTGTTGAGCGTCATGCTCACCGCCCGTCCCTTCTGCAGCATGGCCGAGCCATTCAAAGGTGTGCATGTCTGTTCCGATTAACCCCCCCCCCTCCCCCCCCCTTCGCAATATGCCTAATCTGTCTTATATTCCTGTGCAACTTTCCTCCCTTCATCCAAATTCTCTTCTTCCCTCCCCCCTTTTTACTTCTCCCTCCGCCACGTCCAGGCTTCTATTTTCACTGGAATCTTCGCGCCGCAGAAAGCCTGCAATCCCTCCGTCCTTATATCAGTAAGCTGCGGCACCTGAACGCGAAGATGCGGGCCATCCTCCTCGACTGGGTAACGGATGTCCACCAGTCCCTCTCCTTCGCGCCCGCCACCCTCTACAGGACGGCACAGGTGCTGGATCAAGTAAGCAGGGGGAAGAAAGGGGTGGGCGGGAATTGTAGCTGAGGGGCGAGGATGGTGCTCCTGTGGGATGTGGGGGTGGGTGTTGGTCGTTTGCGGCTTGGAAAAGGCATGCCAGTGCTGAGGTCCTCTTCTCCCTTCCCTTTCACATGGCCGCGTGGCAGTTTTTGAGCCGCACTGAAAACGTGACCCGCGAGAAGCTGCAGTTGGTGGGGGTGACGGCCTTCATGGTGGCCGCCAAGGGCGTGGAGCACACGCCCCCCGATCCGGACGACTGTGCCTACTGGACCGACAACGCCTACAGCGGCCTGGAGGTCTCGTCCATGGAATCCCGCCTTCTCAAGGTCCTCTCGCAGTCACCCTTCCGCCCTCCCTCGCTCCCTCCCACCGCTCAGGACTTTCTCACCCTTTATTTGAAGGAGGTAGGGGCTGGGAAGCTCGCTTCTTGCCGGGCCCAGTACTACTGCGAGCGGACGCTCCAAGAGCACGACATGCTGTCCTTTCCTCCGTCGCTGATCGCCGCCGCCTCTGTCATCCTTGCCTTGAAGAGTAGTCCCATCCCAGTCGTTGTCCATCCATGCTCCACCCAGAAGCCCAAGTCCTGGACAGAGGCCGTTGCGCACTATTCCGGGTATTCGGACACGAAGGTGGCGGCCTGCGCCCGGCGGATTTGTCAGCACGTGCGGCACACCGTGACCACGCTGTCTGGTAGGAAATTGGACGCGGTGAAAAGAAAATACGCGAACGGGCTCTTCCTGGCCGTCAGTAGGATGGAGCCTCCCACATGGGGGGGGGGCCCGGGTGAAGACGCTGAGAAAGCGGAAGGAGGGGGCGGGCAAGAAGAGGGAGGAGAGATCTCGAACGCTGAGGGAGGAAACGCGCCGGGCGGAGATGAGGTGGACGTAGAGGAAGCAGGTGAGGAAGGGAACGGCGATGGAGGGATGGGAGGAGATGTTGAGGGTGGGTTAGAGGTCTGAGCTCGAGGGCAGAGAGCTTGACTGGGGGAAGGAGTCGGAGTGGGAGCGATATAATCAGTCCCGGAGAGTTCCGTGAGGAGGAGTGATGGACGGCAGAGGATGAGGATTGTCCATACTGTTTGCGCTGACCTGCATCCGGGAAAGCGTGCGTTTGAAGAAGAGGAATTCAAATGATATGCGGGGCACGAGAGTGGGGAGGCCACTGATCTGGGAGCGATACAAGAAAAAGAAATTTCGTTCAAGAGGGCAAGTTGGAGACATGTATCAAATTCGCGATAAGCCACGAAAGAATCTACCAAGAACTAAAAACCTATCCAGCACAGTCAGGAGCCGCGCAATCGCGAGTGTCACACGCACGTTTTGCATTCTTTGTCACACTATGTTCCGTCTGACACATTTCACCCCCTACACCAGTCCTACCCCTAAATATTCGTCACATCCAAGCCCCTCCGCCGCCGCCGTTCCACATCGCCCACTAGCCGTTCCCATGCAGGCTTCCCAAAGGCGCGCTGCCCCACCCGTCCGTTCAGTTTTAGAACTACCGAGATGCCCTGCTGGACCGGGTCGATGCCTTGCTTGCGAGCGGCGGCCGCCTCTGCTGCCAGGTAGTCCTGCCATTCCCGTAGGAGCAACGGCCACCCCACGTGTGGCTCGTCCTGTGCGCCTTGCAAGCGCTCCTGCGCCAAGCCCAAGACGGAGGGGTTGTCCTCACCGTCCGCGGGCAGCACCAAAGGCACGACGAGGAACGCATTCCGAATCAGCCGCTCTTTCATCCCAGCCTCCCCTGCCGTGTTCAACGCCGCCTGGACGACATCCTCCCCGCCTGCAAAAATGACCACGCGCCTCGCCATCCCACGGTCCCGACGAAAGTCTGCCAGGCTTAGGACGGGGCGCTCGCCCGCCCCGCCCCCATCCTGCACCTGCACTTTCAGGGAAGCGATTTTCGCCCCCCGGGATAGGCGGCCGAGTTTCCGAGCTTTCGTTTGCGAGTCTAGATTCCACAAGAGCGCGGCCAACCCTATGGCCCCGAGGTCGATGGCAATGTCCTTTCCCGACTCGCTCAGCGGCACCGCGCCCCGCACCCCCGAGAATGCGGCCAGAGCTCCAGTCAAGGCTGTGAGCGCACCGATCGCCCCAGAAGCTCCCACACCGCCGTAGATAAGGAAACGAAGAGATCGGAACGGAGACTCGGCTTCCTCACGGAGGCGAGTCATAACGCTGTAGTCCTCTTCTACTCCCACGTCTCCTTCGTCTGGTAAGATGTTTTGAGCTCGTCCTTCAGCATCCTTCTGTTCGTCACCGCCGTCTTCTTGGTACAAGAGAACTGGAATTCTTCTGCGAAAGCGCGTCGAAACGCATCTGTTTAGTAAAAGAGATTGTAGGGAAAAGGAAAGTTGTGAGAAGGACATGCTAAGAGGGAGACGCACAGCGCTGAAGGAAGCGAGCGATTAGCGCAGCGAGCAAAAGCATTAGATCAACAACGAGAAGCAAAAGGTCCATATAATAGAATCAATCTTGTGGACGGATGCGTAAAGTAATGAAAAGGAAGTTAGCACCAGGAAAGTACGTGCCATTAAGGCTTTTAAGGTAGATAAGGGAAAAAATATGCATTTCGCTCACAGCAGGCTTCGAATGACACAGCTAAGAACAAGGGCATTTCAGATCCCTAAATGCGGACGAGAAAACACATAGAGATGAGGAAATGCTGAAGAGACGGCAGGCTTTCACGGGCTGAGCGTAAGACACTTGACCACCTCAGACTTTCTCGCTTTGAAGAGATAAATTCCAACATTATAACACGTCGGTCACAAAGGCGGCACGTACCTGGAAGGATTTCTTCGACTGGAGGATGATGGCATACCATTTATGAAGGGCGCTTGGAGTTTTGGCGTGAAGTCTGCGGGTCGTGGGAAGCCAGAGGAGGTGGGCAGGAGAAACAAGGCGACCAGGCAGGCTGCCACAGCTGCAGCGGTAGGAAAACCCAAACAATGCATGCCTTCTCCTTCCGCAAACACCGGAGGAGCAGCTGCACTATACTGTGGAATCAAGGAATGCTTGAAAATCATTTGGGGCCTGGCGCGGGGTGGTTTTGTGGTTTGACCGCGTGCAAAGGCACTTTCCGGTCCTCGCTGTCAGCTCCCGTTGTCTCGGAAAGGGCTAGGACGAGCCTCCCCTAACTGAATCACACCCAAGTTGCACAAATTGTACCGGCTCTTGGAGGCCGCGAGCACCGTTCTTGTGCGTTTTGGGACATGATATGCCGTGTGGTGGACTAATGGGTGCTTTGTGGCGGTAAAGCGTGACCGTTCATGGCTTCGACGTGCACGTATATCCAGCCCCCCTCCAAGGCCAAGAGCCTTCAACCGCAGTGCTCAACACGTCACACGATCTCTCCTTGTCTATGCTACTGAGCTTACGGCTCTATGTTTCGTAATCTATCCCTGACAATTAACCTTTTTTTCGTGACCCTCCAATAGTACATTGTTGTCTATAGGCAGAACTCTGTAGAGTGTATTAGCGTGCGGAGAAGCCTTGCTGTCTTCTCGTCTCAAGCCGGGCTCAACCACGCATGGCGCCAGCACTGGAGCTTCACCAAGCGCACAGAATGTACCGCAACCAAGGCAAACGGGACTCCGAGGCTTACCCGCCTTCGTCCCGGGAGCTTGTATTAAAACTACAGGGGGAAGGCTCTATATCCTCGCCGATCCCATCCTCGGTCCCTCGGCGGGCCTGCACTGGGTGCGCACACTCCTGCCTATCACGGCAGCGGCATTACAGGTACGATTTGTCACAAAAGCGGAATATGATAGCTTGCCTCAGGTTTGCCTCCCAGTACTTGAAGCGAGGCTCATCTCCGTATACATGCGATCTGCTCGAACAGAGAGGCACTTTTGAAGAAGGCTGCCCAACCACTGGGATGCGTCTGTAAGTCTGACACGCTTTGTCACAAGAGGAGTAAGTCGTCAATGAATAGCAGCGCTAGAGCAGGTAAGGGGCCACCTTTTCCTGGCGACACCTGGATGTATTTCCAACTTCAACTTCCTCCGTTACTCTACCGCCACCTCTATCTCCCACAGCACCTTCAGTATTTTTTGCAGCTGCCGCGACATTTGTTTGCTGTTGCTCCCTCGCATCAGCCACATATACATCGGAATCATCTTCATTCTTCTACCCTTCCTTGCCTTCTTCCGCCTTGGCGGCATTCCTCCCTTCCTCTCTCCCACCTGCCGCTCCTCGACGGCGCCGCAGGGTGCTCTCTTCTTCCTCCTCGCCTTCTGCTTTCTCCAATTCCGTCTTTGCTAGGCAATCTGCAGCCTCACAGCGCACAGGCAGTTTGGAGATGATCAGCAGCATGTTCAGGTGAGTGTCAATGGAAATACAGGACTTAGTCGCGAAATAGCTGACGCGTGTCGTTTCTTCCTCTTTGCTTTCCTTTTCCCACCGTATCTGCGTTCAGATGGCGGGGCGGGAAGAACGAAGACGAAGAAGAAGTGCTGGTTAATATTGAGTCCCCGTCGGCCAATGTGCGGCGCATCTCCTCCTCAATCGTGGTCAACAGGCCCCTGTCCGACGTATGGAAAATTCTTACGGATTACAACAAGTAAGTTGAACGAGGGGGGACACAGCAGTAGAAGGAGCATCCTCTACTCTTTGACCAGTTGGAATGGGGGCCATGGATTTTAAAGTGTATTGGTTGTGCCCATAAAGCTTCGATGACGTGTGGGCACCTGTACGCTTATCTGTGTTGGTGGATGCCTGACATGTCATGCCAATCGTCATTCCCGTCTTCCCCTCTTCTAGCCTCTCGGAGTACGTCCCTAACCTGACCCAGTCGCGGCTTGTCGCCACTCCGCCAGGGTGGGAGGCGCGAGGAAAGAACAAGGAGGTTCGCCTTTTCCAAGAGGGGGCTCAGACCATTGTGGGTTTCAACTTCAAGGTGCGCTACGCCAAGATCCGGCGGTGTCACACAGAGTAGTAATAGCAGAGTAGTTCTGACAGTGTGAATGGAAAGTTTCGGGGCTCTCCTCTGCCTCTTTCAGCTCGTCTTGTTTGTTTGCCACGTCTTCTGTGAACTCTCCCTTTTTAACGCTCGCTCTATGTATCCGCTCTATTGAAATGAAAGGCCTCTTTGACGATGGATATGGAAGAAGTATTTGAAGCTGAGGACGAAAAGCTAGGTCAGCGTCGTATAAAATTCCGCTTGGTAGACTCGGCCATGTTCAGTGATTTCTCGGGTAAGGACAAATTTTCCATGCTCTGAATTTGAGGGGGAATGGGCACATCAAGATTTTTTATCCAAGAATTTATCCAAGAATCAGTCTTTATAAGTGGTAGGCACTCCTTATTTACAAATTGCCTTCCTTCCCATCGGTCCGAATCTGACCTCCCTACAGGGGAATGGCGCCTACAATGCTACTCAAGGATGCGCACCGCTTGCGAAAACGAGGAATGGACTTACAGGTGAAGAGCACAACAACAATTTAAGGCGCACATTTACGATGGTGTGCTTGTGAGCGCAAGCGGGTTTTGCGGTCTTTAGGAATGTTAGATACATTGTGGAGACTCATGTCACACATCGCTCTTTTTTTATCCCTTTTGCTCGCAGCACGAAGCTCTTCTACATGGTGAACGTGAAACCGAAAGGCCCCGTTCCAGTGGGTGCCCTCGAATGGCGCATAAAGGAGGATGTGCCAACTAATCTCCGAGCCGTCAAGGTCGCCTCCGAGAAGTTGCCCTGGGATTGTGAGCAGGACCAAGCTGCCTTGGCAGGTGGGCACATCTCACTGTTCATTTCGGAGGAGTCTTTTGGCGATGTTACTTTTACAACCACATGTCGAAAATTACTGCATAAAATTTCTGCGCTCTTCTGCGAGCTGACCTACTCATTATTTTTCGATTCGCTACCTGTTCAGCCCTTGCTGCCGGGCGTCGGGAACAACAAGCTCGCATGACCGTGGCACAGGACTGGATGAGTGACGAGACTCTGGGCGCGTACATAGGGGACCTGCAAGGAGGAGGAGGTATGTTGTTCGGCGTTCTTCTCCCATTTTGTCCCTGTCGTCATTATTTTGTCGCGTTGGTGTTTGATATTAACTCTCCGTCTCCTTTGACGCAGGTGGCGGCGTGGATAGCAAAGGAGTGCTGCGGGTTGGGGTGGGCTCCGGAGGATCTTCGGGAGGAAGAGAAGGAGGAAGAGGTGTGAATTCCAGAGCTTGGAGCCCGTACTCGTATCAAAAAGGGAGGAACGAGACAGAATCTGGATCGATGTTGGATCGTCTCTTTTTCAGGTAGCACCACTCGGACGAGTTCGGCCACAAGAAGTTAGCAACCGTACAAGCGGATAATGGATGCAGAAATGGATCCAGAAGCTTAGGGTGGGACTTAACAATACTGAAAACTGTCAGAGGTTTAGAAGACTGGGTGTGTCGGAGAAGGTGTCTCTGTAGAGTTCTAGGAGAACAAAAGGAGTCAACTTTGTTGCGGAGCACAGGGAACAGTGCAACTTTGGAGCTGGTCAGGAAGAAAAGCGAACTGCAATCTGCAGCGCTTACTAGTGCAAGGTCAGCGTGTTTGTGAACAATAAAGAAGTTTTTATTGCGAAAGATATTTTCAGCGAAAGAAAATTTAGATACCTTCTACATCAGATACCTTCTACGTTGCTTTCACGACTTACCTCACATAATTGCACGCGGATGCTCTTTCGTTGTACTCGTAAATTTGCTTTCGACGTTACAAAGCTCTCAAATTGTCTGAAGTAAGTACAAACTCAGAAATCAGGACATCACATTGCAGAAGTGACTGCGAATAACGAAGTGGAAGACATGCAGTGTCATAACGGGGTCGAGTGCATAGTAGAAATTCGCAATCTGGAAGCCTCTAGGCAGACCAGTGAAAACAAAACATCGCATTTGAGATCTTTGGATAATAGCAGCCTGTGCCTCTGTCCGCTGCGCCTTATTTGTGGCATCACAATCCGAGTACCCACAAGAGAATGTTCACCGCCACTGAGGCAGTGAAGGGACACTCCTTCCTTCCCTCTATTTTGGTTCTTCAAGCAGCTGAGAATTCAGGACCCTATTTTTGCAGAGGGCGGGTCACCAGCTCGGTCACATCATTCCAGACAAAGCTGCATGTTTCGTACAAGAGTCGGCGATAAAATAGGATGCGTCTGACCATCTTGTCGGTTCCGTAAAAAAACGAAGTAAGCAAGCACACAGACAAGATGACTAATACCCACGCCGTCGCAACCATTATAATCATCCCATTGAAGAGAATATGCAGGGGAGGAAACTGCTGGTTCTCCTCATGCCACATGGCAAAGCGCATGCCGACACACGTGCAGGCATTCGCCTTTAAACCGCAACTCCAACACCATTTAGTCCGACATCGCGTGCAAGTCATAGCATTGCAGCCTATTCCTTTTTCAATGTGGTGGCCGCATCCCGGACATGGCTTGACAGCATCCCCTTTCCGCTTTTTCCACATGGCGTACGCCTGATTGCCCGATTGATCACATTTTTTCGACCTATGCGGGTCCCCACCGCAGTTTCCACAAAATCCTTCAGAGCATACAGGACAAGTGGCCGATACATATATCCCTTCATGATCTTGCTGTGGTGCATGCGTAAGCCTCGCTACGCCATTACAGTTTGATTGAGGACACCATCGTAATAAAGGGTTCTGGCAAACCTTCGCTTCATTTACAAAGTATTTATGCTTTTCCCAGGCCTCAGCAGTAGCCAAAGAGTGGAGCAATGTATCTTGGAAAGGCGTGCTGCAATGCGTAAGAGGACACCGCAACGTCTCGTGACTTGTTCTACCTTCATTTATGGACACGTTGACGTAGATTGTCAAGCAAGGGATGCAGTATTCGTGCCCCGAGGGACAGCATGCTGTCGCAGCAGCGAAATTCAAACCCTCTCTTTTAAGAAGAAGAGACAGAAAGCGCAGGGGATGTTTAGGGGGCAACCACTCCAGGCAAATTGGACAATAATGATGGCTGGTCAGGTAACTGGTCGAAAGGCTCTTTTTGGTGTTGAAGTCATCATTTTTCCTTCGAAGACGGTGAAACATGGTGCTGAGGCCTGATAGGGTGGTAGAAGCATTTGTGCTTGGTCCATGTGATCTCTTGTTAATTTTACCTTTGAAAACGTTATTAAAATAGTACGTGGAAGGTTCAGGTGGTAAGATTTTCTGGAGGAAAAAACGAGGAGACAGGAATTTGCAGTCGATTCGTGTGGGCGTGTCTTCTGGAGGCTGCGCGTTGAAGTTCTTGCATGAAAATGCCGCCAATCGCTCTCGCATGCCGATTGGCTGACAACGTCCCTTTTACATAATCTCTTCATGTTATAGAATGTAAGGGCCTCAAGGATATTGATGGTCAGGACAGTCCTATTCCATGGGTAAAAATGGGGTGCCGTATGTGCTTCTATTCATTCTCTTTTCGGATTTTTGGGGGGGATAGTCGTGGAATTGATCCCGCAGTCTGTCAGTCAGCGTAGACTGACAAAGTCATGATAGAGTAAATTCTTGTTTTTGGGACGCTAGAGAGGATATATGACGCGACATGTAGACAGTGAAGCTGTTTGCTTTTGAGGTCTGTTTAAAGCTGCCCGTAATTTACCCAGTTAAGTAAATCACGCATTGCATCCCTAGAGACAGGGTGCCACTGCAATTTTTAAGCGGCTACGGTTGAAGTACAAGGGATAAACGCAAGACACGATGAACTAAAAATGTACACGGATTCCATTTGACCATTTCATGGCTTTGTTTTTGTCTACAGCTGCTGCTACGACCGCTTTCATATGGGATTATCTGTTACTGCGCAGGGTCTTCAAACCGTACGACGCACCGTATGGGTCAAATCCCTCACAATGACGCTTATTTGAACGGTTGTATGGAACAAATACCTGTACGGTGCTTCCAACAACTCCCACAGCCACCGTCCGATTAACAGCTTTGCACACAGTTACATAGTGCTAATTGCACTATCTCCTTACATTTTTTGCTGACAAGCATGTTGTAGCCGTTTACGCCACTAGAGAGCAGCAATATGGCATCCGGTGCTGTTCCGACTATGAGGGAGCAATCCTTTCTGTCTATCGAGCCCCTGTCGCTTGATGTACTGCTCCTAAAGTGCTAAAGCGCTGTATCTCCGTACCGATTTTCGAGGAATGCGAGCTGCTCTACAGGCGACAAACAAGAGTCGCGTATGCTCAAGACATAGCTTCCCTTTCGTGTTTGATGATAAGGACGTTCTTGTCCCTCACCATCCTCAGAGTTAATCTTCTGTCTTTTCTACCCCTGCTTCGTTCCATCGGTCCAGGCGTCGTCCTGCATATCTACAATTGCTGAAATGAAGATGTGGCCATTAGATTGATGTGATCACCCTTGCACACCAGGCTGCGTCGTGTTTACGGAGGGGGATTAGTTAATCGGTGAAAGCGCTTCCTTGATCCTATTACACGAAAATCTACTTTCTACAAAATCATGCTTTTTCTTCTGTTTTAAAATATATTATCGGATAACCATAATCCGATTCGAGTTCAAAGTGAGCAAGTATTCTCAAATTTCATCTCAGCCGTGAATCATAAATGGGTTGAAGACGAAGCCGTAATTAGATATGTCAGCCCTCCTCCACGGGCACAATCATCAGCTATACACAGCAATGGTAGTATTTAGTGCTCTCGACACATTTTCGTGAACACTAGCATCAACTACTTTCGGAAAAGTTTCGAGTTCCCTCTCGTGTATTTTTTGCGAATATGGCTCTATCTGTTCGCTATTCTTTGTCGAAGCGACGTTGCGATGTCCCTTATGTCATAGACTTGCCTGATTCCACTGGCCGACAATGAATTTGTATTCAATTACATTCATGTAACATCTATTGCAATAACCAAAAAGTGAAATTACCAAAAATTATAGGACAAGAAGCTGGACATAGAAAAATCGCCCAGCAGCATATGCAATAGTTGAAAAAGTTCTCCGCTCACCCAATACGCTTTTTTCGTACATTACGTGGTCATTTGAGGACATCCAAAAAAGTATATTACAGGAGTCGATTGTATGGCTCCTTGTGACGCAACAGTTGGTACTCATTCTGTGAAAATTGACTGGATTCTTCTCTCGGGAGGGTATATTTGAATCAAAAAGCAAACAGGCCGGTTTGGCTTTTTTGGCCTGACGGGGACAAAGCAACCAATTTCCTACAAACAACTTCTACCGTGAGTATATATTGCATTATGTTATAAAACATTTTGGTCGCTTGCTCATGAACAAACGTTTCCATCATATGTATTGATTTTTCCCATGCTGTGTGATATTTTGTAGCTATGGCGTCAAAATGATCCAGGACCGTTAAGCGCCTTTGGTGTCTTTTAATACAGTCCTTTAGATGCGCAAATAGCCATTCGACATTGAAAATTATCGATGGAACTATTGTTGATTGCAATGTGGCTTTTTTTGCTTGCCTCCAGCTGCTTATAGTCCGTGTTTTTTAACACCGACCGCTTTCTCTTGCAGGATACATCAGGGGGCAGCAGCGGGGATAGCATGATGGAAAATGAGGGAGACCCGGGCAAAGGCCTCGATGTGAGTCGAACGAGTGATTACGGCGCAATACCTACATTCCACGGTACGTTCTCGAAGAGAAAGCTCATACACTTAAGTACTGGTCGCCAATGTCTGTTTAGCCCCCTGACGAGCAAGCATTCTTCCGAAGTACCTGAGGATGTCGGCAGGATATGTGCTGGCGGAAAATGCTTTGAATGCGAGCCAGTGCTTGTAGTATGATTTTGAGCTGGCAGCGCAATCAATCCCCCAATCATCGGTGCATCACATCTTTGTGAATCTCTTGGAGTCGCACATGAGAGGTGTGCGAGAACATCTTCAAAGTAGGTCGACAGGACGCGAGAATTTGACGATGGCTTTACCACCATGCGCACAGATGCCGCCTTGACGCATCCTGAAGAGAGTGAAAATGTCTCCACGCCTACTTCTCAAGCTTTCAACACGTTGCCGTCCTCTGTCCACGCTTCCGACTCTGAACTCGATCACGTGTATGCAACCGTCGAGAGTGGCAATGCACTGGCCATCAAGGACTTTCCCGTCCTCCAAACAACTTCTGCCGCCATCCTTCCTCGCTGGATCTACAGATATTTTCCATGCCTCCGGTTCCTGCCTACGTGGTCGTGCTTCCCCGACCCCACCCAGGGTCCTTTGCTCTCGCCAAGACGGAATCTGGAGTTTTTCCGTGCCATCCTTTACCTTCTCGATGGCGGGCGGAAGCAGCAATCCCACTTTCAAGACGACGCTAAATCTATGCGCTTCTACTACCTGCGACAGACGCTCGCATACCGGACGTGTATAATCGTGGCGTGCATCATGTATCTCTCCATCTCGCTTACGGAGGCCCCCAACTTCCAGATTTATTCGCGCAAGCGAGAACAAGTATCACGGGACACGAGCCATGGTTACGAGTTAACATTCAACGTGATATCGGTCCTCTTTTTTGTCCTCGACATTTGGATACAATTTCAGGCGATGGGTAAGAAGAAGACATTTGGGTACCGTTGGACGCAGCTTTTTGTTGTCTTACTGGCCTTCGACGTGGTGGGGATGGCTTGGCCGCAGGCTAGGCTCTTGATGGTCACCGGCATCGTGAGATGCTACCCAATTGTATACTACAGCAAGAAAGGTAACTCGTTCGGGCTCTCAGGAGTGTTGGATAGGGTTTCACAGTGACACACGGAGGCCCGATCTTCACATCGCGCGCTTGTGCGTCCCCCCCCTCCGTCCTCCCTCCACCCTCTCACGACTTTCCTTACCTTTAACCCTCTCTTACCAGCCCGAAACGCCATGTTAGACTATCTGCGGACCGTACCCTCCGTCATCCAGTGGATAGGCATCGAGTTTCTCTCCGTTCTTGTCTTCGCCTGCTTCGCGGTCATTTTGTACGCGAGTGTGGACCGAGGCGGCGCCAGCGAACAGACCGCATTCCTCTCCTTGAATCGGGCCTTCATCTCCCTCTATGAGCTCTCGCTGACTGTCAACGATCCAGACATTTACCTTGTGAGGACTTGATTACCTTGGGGGGGATGACGCATTAAACAAGGATCAACAGTACTGTCCCTTACCGCTCCTTTCATCGCATTTTGCGCCTCCGCGCCTTTCTTCTACAGCCATACTACAGGATCGATGCCTTAAACGCCATTCTCTTCGTCGCTTTCTTGATATTGACCTTTTTCCTGCTCCACAACATCATCCTTGCCTCTGTCTTCCGCATTTACTCGGCAAAGCTCCGAGACACCGCCGTGCGACGCAACAGCTACCGAGAGGTAAGCCCTGCTTCCTCTCCCTGCCCCGCCGATTCTTCTGCCTGCTCCCTCTTACCTGACTGCTCTCCTTCTTTCGGCATTCCTTCCGCCCGTCCCAGTCTGCTCTCAACCTCGCCTTCCGGGCCTTGGTGGGGGAGAACCAGGGTCCTACCGGTAGGGTTCACAAGGATTTACTGGCCCATGTCCTGAAGAGGGTGTTTCCCCACCACAGCAGCGAGAAAATTTCAGCCTTCATGCAGTACGCGGATCGGGTGAGAAGAAAGAGGGGTGGGGAAAGGGAGGAGGAATGGCATTGAGAAGAACACGGGGAAGGGGGAAGAAGATTGATGGAGAGCGAGAGGGATAGAAAGGAGGAGCAGGAGGGAACGGATCAACAGGGTTTTAAAAGGCAGGAGTATAAAGCAGATGTGTGTGAGAGGGCAGGGGGGAGGAGACGGCAGCAAATGCTAACGTAATGCATTGTCTCGCAGATTCTTTCTCTCAAGCGCCACTCTCATGCCTTCCCCTGACTTAATATCATATTTTCCTCCTCTTCCTTTCGCTTCACCTTTTATTTGCATGTGTCACTAAATTAATTCTCTTCTTTCCTTCTCGTCTTTCCTTTTTTGTAGGAGGACTCCAATGACGACGACCAAGACTATGACTACGACCGATTCCTTATCCTCATGTCAGCCATCGCGGATGATTGTCTTCACGTCATCCGGCCAAGTGTGGCCTACCCTGGTGAGGAGAAAATTGCGCGAGTGCGATAGGGGAAAGGGGGAAAGGGAATGAGTGATAATGTGCCAAGCGATGGAACTGAATGAGAAATCTCGGATCTCGAATGCTCGCAGGTCGTCTCCACAGCTTTCTTGATGTGCTGGTCCTTGCTGAGCTCCTAGTCGCGGTTGTCGCTGTTGCTCGGGTACGTTTTTGGGCTTGTACTCCCACTGTTGGTATTTGCGATCCAATTTTTATTTGTGTGCACTTTCATTCTGCTGCCTATCCTCTCCACCCTCTTATTTGTCATTTATCTTCTTTTTCTCTCTCCTTCGCACAGTATTGGCACATTTTTTACAAAATCTGGCTAGTAGCGACGCTCGCCGCATTTCGCTTCATTTTTGCACTAGACATCATTTACGGGCTACTGCAAATCAAAGGTTTCAAGATATATCTCAAAGTACGAAAGAGAAGATGAGAGGGAGGAAGTGAGGCAGGTACCAAACGCTCATGCTAAACGACTGCATCCTTTTTTAAAACGAAAGACAAATAGTGATAATATATTGATCGACAAGAGATGGACGTGGACAATTTCGATGTGATGGATCATGAAGGGTGTGAAGGACCCAAAAAATGACGGAATAGTTGAAAAACACCCAGCGCATAGGAGAGACCGTCCTGTAAGGGAGGGATTCATGGCTGCCACCGTATCATGCTGACCTCGTTTCCAATCCTTTCGATTCCCAGAGCAGCGTTCATAAATGCAAGCTCTTCGCGCTTTTGTTCTTCCTTGTCGCACTCGTCTGCATGCTGACGAATGACAGGGTGCTTGGGGAGTCAAAAGAGGTCAACATGACTCAGAAGGCAGCTTCCATGTTCCTTCTTTTATCCGTTTTTGCAGACGTGGTGCGTCTGTCCACGCGCGTCCCCGAGTACGCAGCTCTAGTGCAGGTAAGTCACCGCGTCAGGACAGGGTAGAAAGTGCAAAGGAGGAAGAAAAGGAGGAGCGGGAGGGAGGGGAGTGAACACGACACTGACCTTAAGTATCGCAAGCGAGAATTTCATGCACAGTAGGTCATGGTACAGAGCTTCTCTGTTTGATCATATAGTTCTCCATCTTTTCCTCCCCTTCACTTAGGTCTTCAGAGATCTGCTCGTGCCTGCCCTCCTCAGCCAAGCCACCGTCATCTTTTTCCTCATGCACTTAACCTGCTACGCGGGCATGTACCTGTTCGGCGGACGCATCTACCCGAGTCAACCCATATGGGCCACGCTGCCATTTCCCGGTTCCCTGTACTATTTGCTCAACTTCAACACGTACCGTGAGGGAATGCTCACCCTCTTCATGCTGCTAGTTGTCAATAACTGGAACCAAATTTCTGCCCAATTCGTCCGGGTCACGCATCCCGCTGCCTACCTCTTCTTCATGGCCTATCAAGTCCTCGTGGTGACCATTGCGCTCTCCTGCGTCACCTCCTTTTTCATCACGCATTTAAGCAACCAACTCGGAGAGGAGCTGGAGAAGGGGAGAAAGAGAAAGGAAGGGAAAGAAGACAAGGTAGAGGGCAAGGAGAACCAAAAGAAGAAGAAAGAAGGGACATTTTCGTGGGGTGGTTGGGGAAGCTGGCTCTCGGCTGACAATCGAAAGGGATCCATGGACGAACTACAAGGTGCGAACCTTAGAAGTTCGCGCTCGCGAGAAGAGAGAGGGAGGACGAAACATACGCTCTCCGATTTGTACCTAAGAGCGGAATCATCCTTGGAACCCGCTCGCCCTCCCTCTCTGAGCAATTCTTCTCCCTCCGGGGCCTCGAACCCGTCCCCGACCTCGCGTCCGGCACGCTTCCGTCTGAGAAGGCGGGTAAGCAGCTGCTATTTAGCCCTGCGCGATGAGCAGCCGGTGGCGGACGTGGAGTATCAGTGTCTTTTGGAGGCCCTCTTGAAGGAGAAAGGGCAGGAATTTGCCTATTGCTTCATCAAGGAGCAGCGCAACAAGGTAAGGCGGACAGGGAGTGGTGCTTTGCTACCTTTCCTTCCTTCCTACTACTTCCCTATTTGCACTTCAATATCTCCCTATAGAGAAATTCATTTCCCCTCTAATCTCTCGTGTCCTCTGCGTCTTCCAGTCCCACCTCGAAAGCTTCAATCGCAGCACTGGCTTCGCGAGAATCATTCGGCCGTACCCTCAGGCTGAATCATCCCTGCTCAAAACATGTGCAGATCTTTTTGGCAAGGATATGAGTAAACAGGGGAAAAAAGAGGGAGGCAACTCAAGCGACTTGTCCACGCCATCTTCTGAAGGGAGGAGGAAAACGGAAGGCGGTAACGGTGACGAGATTACGGGGAAAGCGGAGGAAAAATCGGAAACAAAACAAATTAAAGGGGCAGCTGAGGGGGCGGCGGCGGGGGAGGAGGAGGAGATCATGGTGGAGGATGAGGAGGAAGACGCCGACGATATGGGAGAGAAGAGAGACTGTGTCATGATTCAAGATATCATGCCTCACCCGTCCGAGTCCTGCCGGGCCTTGTATATGAAAATCTACTTCATGTATGGGGGTGATAACAAACTGGCCTTCTGTCAACTGCACGAGCAGTGAACTACGGCCATCGCTTTTATTTTGGTGGGGAACCCATTCATATATTTGCGTACATTAAAAACTGACTACGAGAGAAGGATAATGGCAAGACGAGACGTGCATTACATGTGGGGTAGTGACAGTGTACATACTGGGGATGCATACTATTTTGAAAACGAAGTGGGTAACCACATAAGTATCGCGCTGGGCGATAAGGAAACGAGTGATTCGCCTATACTTTTTGCGCCTTCTTTTAAATGCCATTCGACAAATGACTAAGATTACAAAGCCCTCAAAAATCCAACGACCCTGCATTTCCTCCTCCGATCATCGCCCCCCCAACCCCCCCCGCTCCATTGTTGACATCCAGCCACACATTAAAGTACCGACAGTTTGCCGGAGAGATCTCACCCCCTTCTTCGCATTGCGCCTGCACAGGACATCGACCACATGGGAAGTCCGTGAAGTGATTGAGCGGCGTGACCTGGCGCGAAATTTTGTAGCAAGGGGTCCCGTCGGAGGACTTGAAGGAAGGTATGGAGGGCAGACATGGAAAAAAAGGTTGACCGCGATGGTCGTGGGAGGAAGGCCGGTAAAGAGGAAGTCAAAGAGAAAAGAAAGTGCATTAATGACGTAGCTGTCGAGAGTAAAATGCCTGCCCATCAGGGCATAAAGGGTGGAGTTGGAAATGGAGGGAAACACAAAAGAAGGGAATTAATAATTGCGTACAGGCAGAGCGCCGACAAGGCTGTTTTGCACAGGCTCGATCTTCATGTCGTAGGCAAGGCTGTTGATGATAAGCTGGACCTCACCGGGAGCCAGCTCCACCTTAAAGGGGTGTGAAATGGGGATGCAATTTCGTACAAAGGTTAAATTGTGCACAATGAGAAGAAGCAATGAGCACAAGTGGTGCATGCAGGTAGACGCAAGACATCATACTCGCACCCAGCAATGAGCCGCATATTCGCACTCAAAGAATCACTCGTCCTCCCTGCCATTCTACACTCTCGTTTCTCTACATTTTTGATCTCGCTCTTCACCTTGGAAACGCCGGAATTTCGGACGTAGTCGGCGATAATTCCCAGTGACGGAGGTTTGCGCTGTTGCTTGATGAAGTGGTAAATGGCGCGAGAGAGTTCTTCGATAAACTCGTGGTCAAACTCGTGTTCCGTGTACCTGGTTCAGGGCGTGAAGGCGCTTAAGTTATACGGAGCTCGTTGACGTCACATATGACAAAGACAAGAAATCAGCTTTCAAGCGCAAGTAAAGTACAGAAGTATACCCATCTTCCCAGAGCGCCTCTTTTCTTCCCCGTCCCGTCTCCCCTCTCTTCCCCTCTCTATTCCTCTCTGCTTCCATTCCTCTGGCCATACCAGGGTCCGCCGGTGATTTCCTTGGCCGGCTCCAGGTCGTAGAGGAGGTACAGCTTGCGCGTCTTGCTACTGATCGAAGAGGTGCTCTTTACCAGCTGACGGGACTCCAGGTTTTTCAATATCTTTTTCAAGGCCTGTGAGTCCGGTAGCGACACAAAACCAGTCGAGGCATGGCAGATAAAATCATCGCTTGAGTTGACGACATAGTTTTTCCTACATTATCTACTGTCGCCCCTAACTTCTACTATCTGCCTTTCCCGTTTCCAGTAATCCTAGCTCCCGGCCTCACCGGCTGCTGTAAAGAGGTCTGTGACCGAATGTCCTTGTGCCAAATTCCTTTATTGCCCGCCTTTTCCACCACTTGGTAAACCAACAGTTGCTCCGCCCTAGATGCCGTGAATATGAAGTATAGATAGTTATACAGGGAGCCGCCAACCAAGGACAACTACTCACAATCCCCTGCACCCCACACCTCCCATTTCCTCCGTCTTCATCATCCATTCCCCTCTCCTTCGCTTCCCTCATGCTCGAGCAATCTCTACCCCTTGTAAATATATATATACATATTATTATATTATGTATATTAACGTACCCCAAATTTCTCATTTTTTCTGCCAGATTCGGATCCACCGCTTGATAGACTAGTTCGTTGCTTTCGGTTTTCATGCATCGGATGAGATTCTAAGTAGCAGGATAGCAAGACGTGAGTTATAATGTAAGTAACGATGTAGGAATCATAGAGTCTGGCATTGCCTTCGCTTTAACATTCATCGAAATCATTTTCCTCTCGCCGCACAGGAAGGATTTCCAAGTATTCCCTTTTATCCGCAATTATTTCCCCATCTCCAATGCCAATCAATTGATTTCATACCTCGGCAAGACAGCTGTTAATGATAGGGACTAAATGCAGGTATCGCTCCGTAAAATGCTCCCGTAGTTGCTCGTTGCGTAAGCCCTGGGAAGTAGAAAATGGACGAGGCAAAATGGGAAAGGGAGAATGCTACCAAAGCAATGATTGCTTTACAGCAATCTTTACTGGGCCCCGCGTTCTTCGCCTGCATCTCCCTACCTCTGCATGGCTGAGGCATAAGGACAAAAATTCCTCTCTGAGATTTCCCGATTCGTCCTTATGTTGTCCTCCACCTGCTCCTGTGGTCTCTTTACGCGAAGTCTCCATTCTCCCGCTCCCATGCAAGGCTTTCGCTTTCTTCTTGCTCCAGACCTATAAACGTGATTTGATCGTTATGTTTGATTGTATTCTTTCACAATCAATACGCTTGTTTGGTGGATAATATCTGTCTTCCCCTAGTGGAGACCATCTAGAGGAGGGAGGAGGTCGCCCGCGGCGCCAAACGTCAGCTGTCGCCCCGGATGAGCCGTTATTCGCGCGTAGGGAGGGTGTTTTTCTCTGCCTTTTTTGCTCGGTTTGGGGTGCACATGAAGCGTACTTGACTTTTCGATGAGAAAAAGGCTTTTTATAAAATTGAAAGGAAATACGGGAAGATACTGCTTGCATATCTAGATGAATATTTGCCTCTTTCCGTACTTGTGTTGCGTGCGACTGCCACACAGTCACGAACACTAGTCCAGGTAGTCTCTTTTTAAAGCTGCTTTGCCCCGCCACCGAAGGAACAACACTTACTTTTTGTAAAATACTTGAATTTCTTGAATTTCACAGCCGTGTTATGGATCCCGACGGCATGGATGCGTGGGCCGAAAATATCTTGGCGGCGCTAGCACGGGCTCGCGACGCCCTTGACAGGAAACGTCGCGAGGTCATAGATAAGAAGAGGAGATCCAAGAAGGAAAACAGCGAAAGCCAAGAAAGACCAAGAGTGGATGTGGAACATGTTGGAACTATGACAACAGATGAGGTCAAAACCATATATCAGGAGAACCGTGTGCATCCATCTTCTGTTACAACAGCAAATTCAATCCAAATATCGTCTCCGCCTGAGCACGTCGGACGGGAGCTCGCTAATCTATCTTCCATCCGCCCAGACTCATGCATCACTACCCAACCCCCTTCGTTCCTGCACTCACCGCTTGAAATTCCAAAAGCCGATAAACTTCGTCTTCCCAATTGGCCGCCTCCAACGCGTCAGCGCCTACCCTCCCTTCCACAAGCCCCGACAAGATGATCAGAGGGGTACTGAGACAGAGCATGATAAAGCAATTACGTGTCATCAGCAAACGGAACAGGAAGATAGGTCTCAATACGCATTATTTCTATTGAGAATTTCTTTCTTCTCTTGGCATCATTTACCTCATGTGAGGACTCCTGCCTGCTCTGCCCTCCATCCCTCCCGCCACATTTGAAGTCCTTCCCTATGCGTTCACGATATGGGAGGCGAACTGAGCCTGGAGACGGTCAAAAGCGCCTTCTAAAGTGCCAAGATTTTGGACGTAAGGGTGGTCGGGTGCCACCTTTTGCAATTGGCTGTCCGTAGGGAGAGCGGGAAATTGTAGGAAGATGATGGGAAAAGCGAGAAATCATGCACGCCGATAGACTGAGTCTCGGTTCTGTGTATAGACCTAGCTTTCTCCGCATGCCTCCTTCCTACCTCAAGAGCTTGGCCACCGTCTCAGGGGGTTTGTGTAAGTGCTGGGCCGTGGCGATAAGGTTTATGAGGGTGTCGGCGTTGCTCTTGTCGGGGTCCTGGGGAGGGGAGGAGGGAAAAGGGTTGTAGACATGAAGGGCAAGGAAAAACATCGAGATCGAAATTCACGAGTTTTGTCCTCGACTTGTTCGCACCGCGCTATCGGTTTTTTATAAAACCAACTCAAAAGCACCGTCGCTTCCTGCTTCATCTGTCCCCTCTCTCTTCATCTGTTGATCATACACCCTGCAGACATATCTAATTCCTTAAAATATTCTTTCTTCTTACCTCTCGGAGACATTGTGCGAGGTATTTGTCGGCTTCCTCGTACAAACCTTGATGAAGGAGAGAGACCCCCAGCCCTGTGGTGAGGGAGGGAAGGAGGGGAGAGAGAGAAGTGAGCCTCAATATTGTATGGAATGTAACAAAGGCTGGGAAAGTCAAGCAATGAAAAGCATAAGATCACATGTACGCAACGACCAGAGCCCCCCGCCCCCCTCGCCTTCTCCCTCATCCCGTCCCTCCCCTCCTCATCTCCCTTCCTCGACATTCCACCCCGCCTTCTCCCACCGTTCAAGAGCAGGGCGCTGTTGCCGTATTTGGCGACCAGCTCTTGAAAGAGTAGCTGCGCGTCACGGTAGCCCGTGCCGCCCTGCGAGGAGGGAGAAGGAAGGGAGGGGAGGAGGAAAGGATAGAGGGTGAGGCGCCGTCTAGGGAGGTCGAAGGGGGTGAGGCAGCAAGGACGCAGGGCACGAGGCAAAATGCCTGGCAATAAAATTTAGGGCGTTGAATGGCGCCTCTTCCCTCATTCTTCTCACCTGGGCGAGATCAACCCAAGCGCCCGTCATCTGAGTGAGGGTGGCGTCTTCGTCCGAGGCCTGCATGAGCTTCAGCTGCTTCTGAGCCTAGGGAGCGTGCGAGGGGGGGAGGGGGGGGTAGGCGCGTAACAGAAGGCATGAAAGAGGGCAAAGAGGAAAGGAGGGAGGGAGGAAAGGAGAATAGAGAAGAGGAAGGAAGAGGGAAGAGGGAGCTTACGTGGTCGAGCCGGTCCATACGCAGGTAGATGGCCGTCATCAAGGCGCGCCTGCTCGTGAGAGAAGCCACTCCTTGTCAGTTACGTCCTACATCCGAGGTCCCTCCCTCCCTCCCTTCCGCCCTCCCTCCCTTCTTCCCCCCCTTCCTACTGTTCGAGGGTGGTGCCTCGATGCACGGCCCTAAGGGCATCCTTGACAAGTCCCTCTTTAAGGAAGATAATCGCTGCCATGGTTTGGAGGGAGGGGCAGGAGGCCGTGGCAGTCTCTTGAAGAGATGTCTGAGGTGGAAAGAGGGAGGGCGAGCATACAAGGGAATGGGCCCGTCAGTACATAGAAGGGCCACGCGCATCGCGGCGATCGTGCAACGGAGGGGAGGCGACGGTTTACGGCGGGAAGGGGGGGCCTGCCCCCTTGCTCTACTCGGTCGTCGCACCTGAAATTTTCCGACGACGGCCTCACGCTGCTCGGGGTGGGCCTCGTATTCAGCGAACCAGCGGACGGCTTGCAGGGCTGATTGAAAATGGCGCGAAAAAAGCCCGGGCGGGATCAATTGGGGAAGGTGAGAGTGCCGGGAGCGGACGAGGTAAGGCAAGGAATTGTCCGTTTTTGGGGTGGCAACCGTACGCTCCCCTTGCATCCTGAAGTCTTCCCTCTCCATATATGTTCACCAAGGTCCCCAATTCAGTCCCTGAGCTCCCCTCCATCCCCGTCGAGCCTTACCGATGGGCGTGTCCCCGCCCTCCTTCACTTCGCCAAAAATCACGTCGTACTCCTTTAGGCCCAAACGCGCACTGTCCTCCATTCACGATGAATGCAACCATGTGGTGGATGAGAAATATTCCTCTTAAGGACGGCAAAATCTTTTCGCCTTTAAAGGGTCATCACGCTGGTCCTGGAACTATCCTTGACATCTCACAGACTCGTTTTTAAATCGTCAGTCGCTCGCTTCCGTTCTAATTATCGCAGCAGCGTTCGCACACATGCGACACACACCTCACATTCATTCCACGACCCACTTGAATTTCCCCCTCGTTACCGGTAGACGAACTCTGCCCTCTCTGTTTCAAGGTCGGGGCTCACTCTCCCTAAGGAGGTACCCTCGTTAATAGCGGCCTGGAAAGGAAGATATGGCATGAAGAGTCGTCATGAGGAGGGAGTGGTGATGTTTTCGATCAAAGAAAATACAAAGCTACGACGATAGGAGCGAAGTGCACGCGATACAGATGAGGAACCGGGCCATTCACACCGCTTTTCAGACGGGGAGGCCGGTGTTACATTCGCAGGTTCTGACGACGTCCGATAACTGAACGAGTCGGAATTTGGAGTCGACAAAAATACTCTCCCTATTCCAGTCATGCTACAAGTGCTATTTAGGACCATTAAGATAGCAAGCCAAGTTGGCAAGGTCTACTCCCTGTTGTAGTAGTCTCTCCGCTGTTTCTTATGTCTTCTTCACTCCCCGTGGTCCTTACCTGAAAATTACCCACGTAAAACTCCTGGCGCAAGGTATAGAGATCATCAGGCTCCGCCATATTAGCTTGCCTCTGTGTTATTGTGTTCTATGAGCAAATACCTTGCGAGGGATGTAGGGAAGTACGGAACAGGGCACCCATCATCGCTCAAACATTCTCAGGCGATGGGATGGCCAGGGATAGACCTACGAACCAGTGTGCCACCTATGATTCACGATTCCATGCATGATGAAAAGTGCCACCTTTCTTCCTCTCATGCAAAGCATCCAACGGGCTCGCGATACATTTTGAAACCCCGAGCACAGGCTTATGCCTGGAAGCCTCAATAGTCGCGGGTGCCGTCCCGAAAGAGCTCATCTATGATGGAAAAGACCTCATCTATGATGGAAAAGACCTCATCTATGATGGAAAAGATCTCATCTATGATGGAAAAGACCTCAGCCCCGACTTCCCTGCGACAGAGCGAAGCGGAGGCAGGCAGTCAAGGTCTTACCTGAACACAAAACAACGCACGAAACCGTTTAATGGATTGGAATTCAAGTGTGAATATTGTTGGGATGTAGGACATAATGTTGGGACTATCAACGTCTAACCGTACGATGTCTCGACGAGGATGATCGGATGGAGTGTTGCAAGAGATGGAAGTGAAGAAGGTTTGATAGGGCGTTCCACATGCACTTCTTTTCTAACACACAGACGGGCTCAAATCCATGGCTCTTCCGGACACTGTCGCTACCATGGCACACGATAGCATGGAGGTGTCGACGTCCGTCCATGCAAGCGTACAGGATGCGGCTGAGAATTCTACTGCCGTGACTCCCCTATCGAAAATGAAGGGGGATGCGGAAACAGCAGCCGGTCCGGCAGCGGCCGTTCCTCCAACAACATCTCAACATACTCCAGGTGGCGCTTTACAATTGCATTCGGACATGCTCTTAGTGGGCGGGAAACCTGGGCTCTTCCATTGTAATTATTGCATGCGCGATATCAGCAACACGATACGGATCAAGTGTACGTCGCCTGGATGGGAGACGAGACGTGACAGAAAAGAACGACATAGAGGAAAAGCAAGAATGGTAGCACCACATTCTGCAGAAAACTCCTACAATTCATTGTTACCATTCGTGCCTTGTCCTCCTTTTTTCTCAAATACCTATATCGCTCTCCATAGGCGCGGAGGTGTCGACGTGTCCTGATTGGGACCTATGCGTGGATTGTTTCGGAGCCGGCGTGGAGTTGGGAAAGCACAAGAACGACCATGTGGGTATAGGAGGACGCCCTGGCGCCAGAGAGAGGGTGTAGAGCGGGAGGGGGAAAGGAGGCAGGGGAAGTGTAGATCTAGAAAGGAGTCCGACATGACACGGCCCATACTCACGCGCTCGCTTCGGCCCCCGTAGCCCTACCGCGTCGTCGACAACACCCACTACCCCATCTTCTCGCCCGACTGGACTGCAACGGAAGAGCTTCTGCTGCTTTCAGGTAGGGGAAAAAATTGAAGGGGGTTTTCGGGGCGCGGTAGAGCGACGGAACGGCACAGGACACTTCCATCGGGGACGCCATTCTAATCTTTTTCCTTATCCATGGACACAAGCACTTGAGGCGCATGGGATGGGAAACTGGGGAAAGGTAGCGGAGCTGCTCAACTGCAAGGTCGGTCCTCCCTCCCTGCCTCCCTCCCTTCCTCCCTCCCTCCTTCCTCCCCTCCCTCCTTGCCTCCTTACACCCGGACCCACCGCTCCCTCGTCTCCACCTCTTACTGCAGGAAAAAACGGAGAAGGCTTGCATGGAGCATTATTATGACCTGTACTTGCACTCCTACGGTAGCATACTGCCGAAGCAGACTCTTGGTGGGGGAGAGACGACGGCCCTGGTCTCGGAGGAGGTAGGGAGAGAGGGGGCCGAAGGAAAGGGTTGAAAGGGGTTCAGGGTTTGAAAAACATCGATCACAAACATGTCGACGTGGGAACCTCGTGTTGACCGCACGCCTTCCCTTCGTCCACGCCCGTCCTAATCTTAGGAGTATCGGATGCGGCCCTTGGACCTGGCAAGATACCCGGAGGCGGTCCATTTGATCGGGGCGCCCCCCCCTCCTCCTGACGGCACGCCCTACGAGCGACCGAGGGCGGGGCGGGAAAGGGAGGGAGGGAAGGAGGGGGAGGGAAAGACGGGAAAGGAGAAGGAGGGGGAGGGAAAGGAAGGTGGTGAGTGTGGGAGGGAAGTTCGCGCACTACTTACCACCATACCTTTCTTCTCGGCCTATCTCTGGACCTCAACTCTTTCTCCCTTTACCTCTGCCCCCTTTCCGCCCCTAGGTCCGTCGCAAGCCAATGACGCGATCCCCGGCTACATGCCCCTCCGGGGGGACTTCGACGTGGAGCACGATAACGAGGTACTCTCCCTCTCCTCCCTCCCTGCTTCGCACCCTTCCGACTCCACCCACCCTCCCTTTCTCCCTGTTCTCGGGTACAGGCCGAGCTCATTTTGGCAGAGATGGAGATCTTGCCGGATGAGGACCCGGCGGAGAAACAGCTCAAGCTCATGGTCGTGGACGTCTTCAACCGGTACGTCCTCCGCCCTGCCACCCCGCGCTGTGTCCATTCTCTCTCCCTCCTACTGGCTTCACGGCATCCGTGGATGGTCGTTTTTTGTGTTTCTCCGCTCTACCTGTTTCTGTCCATTCAAAAGTCCCTATTTTCCTCCTTTTCGTCCCCTCCCTCTCCCTTTCTTTTCTCCAGGAAACTGGATGAGCGAGAGAAACGCAAGGCGTTCGTGAAGGAGTACAATCTCATCGACTACAAGGCTCTCCAGGTCTGTGCCCCTTTTTATCCTCCTCTCCGTTTTATTTTTATGGCCGCCGTTGACAATAAAATTGCACTCCTGACGGTCTCCGTCCTCCCTCCCTCCCTACCCGCCCTCAGAACAAGGAGAAGCGAAAGCCCAAGGATGAGCGGGAGCTCATTGCCAAACTCCGGGTATTCGCCCGCTATCAGACCCCGCAAGAGCACGAGCAGTTTGTCCTGGTAGGTCGCGGTCTTGACTCTCTCCCGACGCCTTTGTGCCCTCTCTTGGCTTCGGTGATGGCCATTCGCGCCGCTTCAGACTGCCTTTCTACCTCCCCAGGCACCAGTTTCTGTGCCCATCTTCCGGTCTCTGTTCTCCCTCTTCCCTCTTCCCCGATGTCCGTGTTTCTCGTATTTTTCCTCCCCGCTCGCCACCCTTCCTGCGCCCTTGGGCGCCGTCTCCACCTCTCCTTTACTAATGATACCGCGCGATCATCCTTCTGACATCTACTCTTCCACCCCCGTCCCTCCCCCCTTCATCGTTCCTCCATCATCTTTCTCTAGGGTATTTTGGAGGCCAAGCGACTGCGCAAGCGCATCGAACAGCTCCAGCAGTACCGGCGTCTTGGCATCCGCACACAGGTCTGTTTTTACCTCTCTCCTCCAGTCTATCGCTTTGCTTTCCCCCCTTCTCCTCCCTGCCCCCCCTCAAGTCTGTAGTCTTTACTTTTCCGTTCGATCTTAATTCCTGCCTCACATTCTCCTTTTAAAAGCCACGTGCGGATTGTCTTAAGTCTTTGAGTTCTCGCAAGCACTCATTGGGCGACCCCCCTCTCCGCCTTCCTCCTCGTTCTTCCAGGCCGAAGCCCTGGCGTATGAAAACGAGAAGCGGAGACGCGAGCAGGAGCAGCAAATGCGGAAACAGGTAGAGAGGGCGAGGGGAAGGGATGTGTGCATGAATTGTGATGGGAGGAAGGAGGGATGGAAGGGGTGACTGGAAAGCTGATGCGGTGGCAGGGAAGAAGAGGCATTTCTCCAGGTGAAATTTTTGTTTTGGAGGGACTGGGGCAGGCCACGAGCGCACGTTGCTTCCCCTAATCCTAAGAAGGAGGTGTTTGCCGGGTCGGATGGAACCGAACGCTGGATTGGCTTCGGAAACCAATACTGGCTGCTCTCATGCCCATTCGTCCCTCCACGTCCCCCCGCTCTCATACCCATTCGTCCCTCCACTAGCGGGCGGAGGCCTCCTACTTGTACGAGTCCGCGAAACCCTCGACCAAAGACCGGTCGTCCCGGTACAAGAAGCGGCATCGAGGGGAGAGCGACATGGACGGGTGGGAGTCACATTCATTCCACGACCCACTTGAATTTCCCCCTCGTTAC